TCTTATGTCCACTGAAGATATAACTGAAGCATACAGAAGATGAACTTGTCCAAAATCTCATAGAAACACATACACACAGCTCATATCCAGAGGTCCTGTGGTAGAGGGTTGGATATTGTCCAGTGGGGGTAGGGGACAGATCTGGAGGTAAGTTTTGAATTGAACCTTAAAAAGGGGGGAATGTTAGGGGGAAAATATTTCAGGCAGAAGAACAGCTTGAAGGTGAGAGGATATGATCAAGAAATAGCAGTAAATAAAAGTTGCTGCAATACTAAAATATAGCAGAAGAAATGAAAGATTAGACAATTAAAAAATAGGTAGGCAGTGCCCATACTATGAAAAGGTTTGTATCCCCTGCTGAATCTGCATATAATGGAAATATCTGGGGTAAGACACTAAGACGTACAGTGATTATACTGAACAGAAATCACAATAAAAATAAAATTTTTTAAATGGGGAGGTAAGTAAACAGACACTCTGTTGAGTTGGATTATTAGAAAAATGACTTTGGTAATAGTGTAAAATATAGAGTAAGACAAACATCAGAGACAGAAAACCAGTAGGTCAACGCAGATGGCTCTGTGATCCGGATCCTAGGATGCACCTCCTGTATCAGACACTTTGGTGAGTAACCTCGGACCAATCACTCTGAGCATTGGCTTCCTCATCTCTAAGCCAGGGATGACAATACTACTTACCTCGTAGCATTATTGGGGGGATAAAACAAGACAATACATGTTCAATACATAGAAGTTATCTATAAAAGGTCATGGCAGTTGAAATTGAATCTTTCCTTTAACAACTTCTCAGAGTTCGATCAGTCCTTTGATTGCGTGTCTCCAGGGATAAGGTAATCACACTCTTACCAGTGATAACATAGCAAGGGCATTTGAGAGAATGGGGGTTTATCTTTGCTTCTTCCAAAACTACTACATCTATCAAGGAAGCTGAAGTTGAAAATAAAAGACAAAACAAACCCCAAAATATGAAGTAACCATAGTTGGAGGAGGTGAGTGAACTCTGAGATAAAACAGACTCAGATTTGCACCCTCACTCTAGAAAACCTTACTAGATGTTAAGCAAATACTAAACCTTACTTTTTTTTTTAATCATGGCTGTTATTAACATGGTTATTAATACCTATATCATGAGACTATTGGGAAGATAGCTGGGATCATGCATATTAGGACATGCATGGTCCAGAGTTAAGTAATAGCTGATAGCTGTTATGTATAATACTACAGTCATAGTCAGGCAGCAATGCTGGCGGGAAAAGAACACAGAATGTGCAAACACAAAGGGCGGACTTTATATGTGATGATTCTAGAGACCACACCCACGAACAGCAGCATAGGATTGCACATCCTTTTTCTGTATAGCTAGATGTGGTCTGCCCAGCATATGGGGCTTCCCTAAAGACATTTCACTGTGTTAGGTGATATAGGATGATGAGGATTGAGAATGCAGGTTTGTGGACTAAGAGAGGAAAGACGTGAAAAACCAATAGTCTTCTCCTGCTATTTCTTGGCCCAGAACTCAGATCTCTTCACTGACAATCACTAAGGCATGATGCAAAGAAGACTGGGGCAGGAGGGGAAGACAGGTTCCTAGGATTTCAGACCTCACTGTGGAAGGAATGGGTGCAGGGCCAGACATCCATCCAGCCAAGCACACAAGGACCTGCTGGTTTAAAAGGTTGCCTCTGTCCACCTTTCTAGACTGCAGAATACAAAGCAAGTCCACTCTTTCTGTAGGCCTCTGCCTTGTGCACAAACATTCCAAACATCTAGTCCACTGCTCAGGGTACCTTCATGGCCCTGGGGTGAATATACTGTCCTTTGCTTTTTTCCTAGAATTTTAAAAACTGTCCTCAAGTACTTGGTTTGCAAACTTAAATATCACTAAGAAGTAAAATAAATGTAACGCGAAGATGATTGAGACACTCTGTTCCAATGCGTACCCTCTGTCCTTAGCTTCCATGGATGGTACAGCGGGGCACACACTGGGGCTGTTTTCAACCACAGTGACTATTTTGCTCCTGGATTTTCTGCAACCAAGCTTCCATTCCCTCTGTCAGACAAATGCAAACAAACAACAGGTCCTAGACTCAATACTAAGGCATCTCCTAGAGCCAACAAAAGGGACCTGTGTAGGAAGAAACATCCTTGGCCACATTATAATCAAAATGAAACCAAAGGCCATTCATTATGAAACACCCATCTCTTCTGATCTCCCTAAAACTAGAGGTAACCTCCAAAGTTAGAATTAGAGCGTCTGGTAGAAACGGAAAGCAGCCAGAAATGTTCTCAAGTGTCCTAGCACTTTCACTTTCAGAAAATGAATATTTAGAAAGGTTTAAGAATATCTTTCTTATACACTTCACTCCCTCCCAGACGTAGGGAGCTGGATGACTGCCTCGCGTTCATGAGCAAGAGGATGTTGAAGGGCTGACTGGAGGCACACCCTCTGCCTCAGTTCTTCATCCCTTTGGGCACTGATTTTCCCCAAAGGTAGGAAAGGGATGATCATTTAACTTCAACAATGCTGTTTAAAAGTGACACCTAGGCGGAGTGTTTCAGGTTGATCCAGCCAACACCGAATCAACCATTTATAGAAAGACAGCAGATGCTAGCAGCAGCTCCTGCCTCCTGATAGATGAAAAATAGCACAGAGCAAGACATGGGAAATTACCAAGGACTGGGGAAGTTCCTTTTCTCTCAAACTCTTCAAAGACAAAATAGCCTCTCCCTTCTCTCTTTCTCTCTCTCTCTCTCTCTCTCTCTCTCTCTCTCTCTCTCTGTGTGTGTGTGTGTGTGTGTATGTCTATGGCTAATTTCTGAGGCTGCCCTTCCCCAAATGAGAAGTAACCATTCCAAAATATCAAGGTGGGTGCCCACTGTGTCTCAGGTGGTAGGTCACCCACATCAGTGCTAGAGGCCATGTGGAGGACGGGCAGCTCAAACCTCAGGTTCACCTGAGGACATCAGCCGCGTATGCCCGTGATCCTGGCTGACCAGCAGGCTGGGGTGGGGTTGGGAGAAACACTGTGTGATGGGACCCCGTCCAGGATGCCTCTTGCTTCTCTCTCTCAAGAAATAAAATGGATAAACATATTTAAAAATCAGGTGGGGAATCTATAGGCTGGAGGATAATATAGGTAGGAGCATACAACCAAAAGGCAGTACATGGGTTTTGGTAATTAAAAAACAAAAATCCAAATACAAGTGATGATGGGGGGGGGAAAAAAAGCAACTTTAAAGGAGTTATGTCTGGTCTCCAGAATGACTCCTGAAGGTTGCCTAACACTTCACAAAGAAGCACAGGGGCAGTGATGTTGCCTGCCAGAGAAGACAGCTAATTGACCCTGCAACCCTGGAAAGCTTTGTTTTGGGGGCCCTTACTAGTTTTAAATTTCAGGCTACCAGCTGTCTAGGCACTTGTGCCTGTTGTCTCCCAATCCAGTTTTATTTTTCCAGGTCCTTCTCGTCATCTACTATTGGGATATCTTGCTTAAAGAACAGCTTATCACACAGCAGAGATTATGGTTGGCCAAACTGAGCTCCCAAACCAGAAGAGTGTGACCCCCATGACCTCAGAAAGTAGGGACACATACAGTTGCCAAAAATGAGAAGCCCACAGGCAGCCAGGGACAATATTAAGAGTTTGGAATTTGTAGGGACCAGCAGTTAGGGTAATGGCTATGTCACTGGACTCCCATGTAGTCGACCGCGGTTCAAGTCCTGGACCCGGTGGCTTAAACTCACACCGGGCGCGTGTGTGTGTCCGCCCAAGATCCCCAGGAGGAGAAAGGAAGAGAAGGGATTGCAGCGTGGTCATCCCCCCTGGGGGGTGATTTCTGGCTCTCTGTCTCTCTGACTCTGTCTCTCTGGCGAATGCACATGCCCTACAGCAAAAACCTCTCAAAAGAAAAGAAAAAAAGAGTTTGAAATCTGAAGAGGTGCCTTGCTGAAGGCCAAAGTCCTGCACCTAGTGGAGAGGAGACCAATGTCTGTTTTTCTCTAGCCAGTCAGAAAACCGCAGACAAGGAGAGTGGAACAGCTCCTGATGTAGTCCTGAGGCTGGGAGGGAAAGTTGTCAGGTCCCTGTGACTGACTGAGGAGTACAGAGCCAACATGACTGCAGCACCAGCTAACATGGCCATAGCCATGGCCCTCTGGTCCAGGCCCACCAGTCAGGAGGTCTGCAGAGGGAGGGCAGGACAGACAGACAAAGGACACTCTCTGTTCTGACTACAGAAATAGGGCTGGGAGGCACATGTTGCGAGCAGTTGTCCCTCCTGAGCGCCAGAATGTAGGTTTCATATAAAACAGTTGAGGCACCATTCCTCCAGGACAATCTGGCCAGCCTTCTCATGACTGAGTCCCTGCAAAGCTGCTTCCCGCTGCCGCAGCATTGCCACCCCAAGCAGGGGTGAGCAATTAGACCCACCTGCCTGCAGACCGCAAGGAGTTCACCTGACTGGGCACATCCCATGTTAACCCTCTGTGCCCCTAGGGAATCTCACTCACAGAACAGAAACCAGATCATCTCACTGGAGTTTGCAGTCTGTGAGGGAGAGGAGCAGATAGAAGAGACAAGAAGGTAGAAACCTTTCGACTGAAACATTTTTTTGTTGTTGTACGAAAAGGAAAAACAAAGTAGGCAGCAGAGACAAGCTGCAGGATACTACTCCTTTTCAGACACAGCTAGCATTATTTAGGTAAAGCCCAAATGGCAAAACTCGTCCAGATGGACAGAAAACGTGTTCACCTGTCAGCAAAGGGGGAAAAAAACAAACTAGAAAGATGCTCTGAGGTCCAGACAGGCAAGAATTCAGGCTCCGGGGCTTCGAGTCTCCTCCTCGCTATCCACTCCCTGCCCCGCCCCCAGACGTCCAGGTGCAAACCAGACACGTGAGATTGCATACTCGCCAACTCGTGAGGACTCCAGGCCCGGCCAGGGGTCGCCACCACCGCGGCGGGGACACACCCTCCACCTACCTCAAACATGGGAGAGGCGCCCTTGCTCGGCAACGTGCAGCCCAGGAGCTCGGCGAGAAACTTTGCCATATACGAGCAGTGAGGCTGGGTCTCTCCAGACGCGCCGCTTCTGCCTCCGGCTGCGCCAGACCCGGAGCTCCGAGGCTGTGCCCGAAGCTCACGGGC